AGCGGAACATCCTCTCGGCCAAGCAGAAATTCTTCAACGAGAAAGTGAAGATCTTCAGAAAGACTGAGCCTAAGAAGTGGCACTCGAACGTGAAGAGTATATGCGGCTCTTCTCGCAACGACTCCTCCTTTCCCCACATACCCGAGGTGGCAGGCTGCAAAGCTCCTGCTGCTGCCAGTACCATCAATTCTTTTCTTTCCAAGCCTTGCACCGCCCTTCCCCCGCTAGACAGAACCCTCCTCCCTGCAATGTGCCCATGTCCCCACCTTCTCTCATCTCCCCGTCGGAGGTACACGAGGAACTGAAAAGGATTAAGTCTTGCTCTTCTCCCGGTCCAGACTCCATCCCATCCCGGATCTACAAGGAGTTTGCCTCAGAACTCACAATCCCTTTGACCGATATTTTCAACACATCTCTCATGACTGGGCAAGTTCCGGACCTGTGGAAGACCGCGACAGTCATCCCAATCCCAAAGAAACATCCACCCAAGTGTTTGAACGACCTTCGTCCCATCTCTCTGACTTGCCTTCCCTGCAAGATATTGGAAAGGATAATCCTGAAGAGAATGAGGAACGTGGCAAACGTGTTGCACACCTCTCAGTATGGTAACCGCAAAGGCATTTCTACTACGGACTATTTGCTTGACTTCCTACATTACGCTCATCTACATCTAGACGCAGGGAGAGCAGTAACAAGCATATTTATTGACTTCAGTAAAGCCTTTGACACCGTTGACCACAACCTCATCCTGAAAAAGCTATTCCTCCTCGATGCAGACCCTGTTCTCCTTTTATGGGTGACCTCCTTCCTCGACCACAGGACCCAAAGAACTAGATTCAAAGGCGCGGATTCGGAGATCGTCACTCTCTCCTGTGGTGTTCCTCAAGGTACTGTGCTTGGGCCGTTCCTCTTCTCCGTCATGGTAGACGACGATATTCAAGACCAAGACCACGTCCAGACCTTTAAATACGTCGACGACAAAACCCTAGCAGTATCCCACTCAAAAACATCCCTGCCTTGTCTTCAAGAATCCCTCAACCAGCAACAGACTTGGGTGGATGCAAACAACATGAAATTGAACCCCACCAAATGTTCCATGATACAGTTCTGTTTTTCCAAGACCTCTCCCCCTGAACCTGGCTTACACATCTCTGGTGCACCTTTGGTAGGTCAGGGTTCTGTGCGCCTCCTCGGCTTAGTGATTCAAAGCACCCTTTCGTGGAAAGACAATACGACCTTAATCGTTAGCAAGGCATCGCGTCGCCTCTTCATGTTGAAGATCTTGAAGTCCTTCGGTGCATCCAAAGAAGACCTTATCCTGACCTGGACTACCTACATCCGCCCCGTCTTGGAATATGCATGCCCTGTGTGGCACAATTCGTTAACTTCCGCACAGGCTAACAACATAGAGAGAGTGCAAAAGCGCGCCGTCCGCATCATTTTGTCCAAGAACTACACCAACTATGAAGAGGCCCTCACAACCCTTAACCTGCCTTCTTTGCACCTAAGACGTCAGAGTATCACCTTAGGGTACGGAAAATCCCTTCTCACCAACCCCTCCCGACGTCATATTCTTCCACCCCTAAGACGACCATACTCCATGAAACTACGTCTTGACACATCATCCCTTCTTAAAGAGTTTAGGTGCCGCACGGAACGGTTTTATCGTTCCCCCGTCCCCTTCATTATCAGACTCTTGAACCAGTCAATCTGAACCCTATTGCGACTTATCCTATTGTTGAATCTCGTTGTCTTGTGACATGTTTGTATCTCACGACGGGACCTAATTTGCCCAGCACAACAGTCCCCGATTTTGGAATAAACCCATTATTATTATTATTAATTGAGTAGATGTGTCCTAAACAAGCAATATTGTCACGTAATGTGCAGATTCTTCCTAAATGTGCAACATCGTGGCTCAATGCGAGGTTTCGTCTAAACGTTTGCAATATTTTCGCACATGTTGACTTTTCCTTCTAAATTGGGCAAAGATACTCTAGGCAATTCTGGGCAATCTAATCTAGAACCGTATTCTACCTTTCCGCAAAAGCCTAAGTGAAAACATTATGTAAGATCAAGAGGGAATTTACCTCATGCATAATCTCATTCGTTCAAAATTTACTTGAAGTAAATATGAAACTTCCACAATAAAAAGCAGAACAATTCGAAGACAGGGTGATACTGCAGTCCTTGAGTGGCATATGAAAGGAGCCTTTCGCTATGAATTTCTTCTGTTTTTGTTTTTGACACACGGTTGAAAATACCTTAGAAAAAATATGGTCATATTTTGACTTGAAACGATCTCCCTATTTTCCTCGAAGTTCTCATCACTCTTACCGGACCAGTGCCGTACCGAGGATATTTGGCGTCCTGTGCGAGATATTCCGCCACCCCCCACTCCCCCCTCCATACCTTTCCAGCTTCCCCTGGACCAAAAGCGAAACCGAAAAAGCCAAAAAGGTGAAATCCAGAAGAAAGTTTGTGACAATGAGGGAGGAGGACGGAAAGGAGACTGTGTTCTAGAATGGTTCTTAACATCCATTCACATACTCAGATTAACATTGAGTCATCCCATACCCATCCCAAGGATAGGATTCTGCTCGTTCTCTAAGGACACCAGTCGAAATACTGATAAAGATTTAGTGAGGCCCACTCCAGTGCCGGTTTTAGAAGTTGTGAGGTCTGGGGGAAGCGGATTCTTGGAGTTCCCCTCCCCCGACATTTTACGTGGTGGTGCAAATTTTGGATCTGAATCTTCTGCAACTTCACGTAAATAGTTTTCTTTTTCCCTTCCTTCAGGGGTCCCCCTGGAAGAATGGGACCGGGGGCAACAACCCCCTTACCCCCCCTTAATCCGGCCCTGATCCATTCTAAAACCTTCAATGACTTCATTTGTTGACGCTTCCGCAGTTTTCCACTTTTATATCAACAGTAGCGAACACGCGCAGCAATTATCCGCGCACGGAAGGAGAATTGCCCGCAGTTGGGAAGTTCGAGCAGTGGAAGTACTTTTTTTCAGTTTGGGAGATTTGGAATCTCTGTCGAGTGTACTGATATTCAAATGACTCAAATGATTCAGATGAAATTGACAGTTTCAGGAAACCCTAGTATTTATCGAAATCAGGGCAAGTCACTAAGGAGATTCAAAATCCTTCCAGATTCCACAAAACTTTACGACATACTGTAAGAACAATACGCTATCACCATCCCACTGATAATTTTTTATTATTAATTAAGTGCTTTATGATTGGTATCGAGGGGTTTCCGTTGAATGCTCACTTTTCTCCAGCGAATTTCTTTATCTAATGATTATAACTCATAACAGAAGGCTCGGATGCCAACGTCATAGCTGGACGAGGTTTTTTTCACTGAAAGATATCCCCAGTTTTACCTAAGTTCCAGGAAATTGAAACCAGACCACCGAGGCTTGGGTGATTGCTATTACTACGCTACGTTTTCTTTTTCTGATTTCTTTCAAGTTCTAAGTATATTCTATCTACAAGTAATCTGTGATTATGTTCATCAGCGTTTGAAATCTTGCCAATTTCAGGAAAGTCTTCCAACAACAATTATGCAGATACGGTTGCTATAAGCAATACATATTACCCTTTTTAAAATGCAATTGTCACACATACCTGCCTGACCTCTGTCCCGCTACCAGAGCTGCAGCACTCTTACAGAGGGTGTTGCATGTGAAACCAAACCTAAATGTTGCACCCCTCTGAGGTGGAAATAATTTTTTTAGTTTCACGACTCGCACATCCAATAAGGATTTTTTCTTATTTTTTATCTTTTCTCAGTAATGGTCTGGAATTCTCATGTCAAAGACAACCCTGTATTTCTAGTAGGCTTCCATGCGAATCCCTATTTCTTCGCTCAACATACCTTGGATGTGCGTGTAGAATACAGTGACAGCGGCACAGTATTGAAACCGCACTTTAGCAGATCATGAGAGAATTATTATTGTTAATGTCGTGTGTTTCAAGGCTGTAATGCCATACATATAAGATGATAAATTTTTAAAAAGGCAATGTTGGGGAATCTCTATGGGAGGGAGGTGTCATAGTGTGTGCAGTTTGCCTCACGGTTCCGATGGCTTTTATTTGTAAGGGGATTTGTATAGAAGCAACCTGGTAAGTCACATAATCCATGGTCATTTAACGGCTACGAAAGTTGATATGCATATTGGATTCTTGATTTAGCCTTGCTTCAGCCATACAATTCGCCGTACCATTTATGAGTCTGTCCATTCGTAGAATTGTCCACTGGAACTTTCCGTTTTCTTCATGATTAAACATTATATTGCATACTTATGAGACTATATGCACAGTGACTTATTTTGGCTCAAGAGTCGTTGGGAGGGGGGGGGGGTCGGCAGAGCGGGGGCGCCAAACCCCACCCGAGTGATATATGGGGGAAGAAGTATTGCCTCCAAGGGAGCGTCAGGCTCTGTCCCTGAAGCGCCAAGGACGCGGTCCTTGTCCCCCCATAAAATATACCACTGTATATGAATACTTGCGTATTTCGAGGTCTGGTCCTAAACGTGCAATACTGTGTAATGCGAAGTTTCGTCCTGAAAGGTGAAGTATTGTGAGATTTGTTCAAGCACGTGCAGTATTGTCACGTAGTGCGTTATTTCGTCTAAACGTGTGCAATATTTTCTCCCATTTTGACTTTTCGTCCCGAATTGGGTAAAGATTCTCTAGGCAACTCTGGACTCAATTCAACGAACTCTGGGCAACCTAATCCTGAACCGTACTCTACCATCCCGCAAAAGTCAAAGTGAAAACTAAGTGAAGTCTAAGGTCAAGAAAGAATTTACCTCATGCAAAGTCTTATTCGTTCAATTTCACTTGCAGTGTGTATGAAACTTCTGCAACAAACAACTGAAGAAATTGAAGACAAGGTGATGCTCCAGTACTTGAGCGGCATTAGACTGGAGCCTTCCGCCATGAATTTCTTAAATTTTTTTTAAGATAGTGGAAAACACCCCAAGCAGCATGTATATGTAAGCAAGATATCAATTCTTTGCAAACAATGTGAATTTATTGTGGCTGCCATGAAAATGACATCAGGTTTACGTAAAATTAACGCCACACCATCCATATGAAACTTTACTGGCCCATTCGCTGATGAGGTACCAAGATTCCTCACTAGATGGAACCCTTGTTCCCTGCATCCTACAATTACTATTAAGTACTAGCTTTCATGATAGAGTATCAGATTCTCTTACCATCCTTCCACTTTTTTAAGTGCAATTCAAGAATATATATATGGAAAACATGAAATTATTATATATTTCTTAATGAAATATGACTAAGGGAATCATTAAATGCTGAAGTTAAGCTTTTCATTACTGTAGTACACGGGATTAGGAATGAGTAGTATCTTAGCTACACAAGTACTACATCTTCTCTATCCTAAATGAAAGAGAACTCCTCTGAACGTCAATTTCTTCTCCGAGGCTGCAGTATAGAAGAAGGAAGCAGTAAGTCATTTTGGTACTCTTGAGTGCTGATGAGCATGGGTGAACTCGTCCAACCACCCTTAAGCTCTGAAATTTGGAAAGAAATGGGAGATACAGTGTCAATTTTTCAAAGGTGCTGATTGGCTCATTAAAGACACATGAATGCTAGAGGGAAATTAACATAAATCTTACATAAACTGAAAGTAAATATACCTTTGGGAATGCAAGCGGGCATGTCAATTTTGCGTGGAATTTACGTTAATTTTATATCACCGTTTACGTATCACAGAGGTGACATTTATGCAAACATATTGACATTATCTTGACAATGGTTTGCGTAAAAATGATATAAAATGGACAAGAAATTTACATTCATTTTATGTAAAATTAACATAAACATGCTGTTTCGGACTATTGCAAATGTGTTCATTTTTTACTTGCAATGATCCCCATATTTTCCTTAAAGTTCTCATTAGTCTTACCGGTGCAGGGAACCAGCGCCGTACCGAAGATATTTGGCGTCCTGTGCGAGATTTACGGCCTTCCCCCCCCCCCCCCCTCCCACTCCGGACAATATGCCTCTCCAACTTCGGCGCCACCAACAATATATAGGGTATTAACTTCTGTCTTTATTTAGATAAACTCAGCAGGACTTGAATTTACAAAGAATGGTTTTTAGAATATATTGTATATAATTGGGCAGCGAATTGGCGCCTAGCGCGGGCGCACCTCTCGCATCCCCCTCGATACTCGATACGGCTCTTCAGGGAACATAGTAATTCAGACTTCCACAGAATGAAATCCTTCTGGATTCACTAATAGAATGCAAGGCTGTAGTTTTTGTTAAATGGGCACATAGTATATTATATAACTAGCCTAGATGATCGAGATAGAGATATAACTAGATGGTCGCGCCTTCGGCGCTTTATTACCTACAATAGTGATTAATTCATTCATTTTATGCGAAATGGGAAACACGTATTTAAAATACGTCCCCATTGAAATACGTGACATATTGGGTAGAAAGTCTTGATTTTTATGAAAATCATTACCTCTCTGATCCTATGTGTGCCTAACTTGAAATCATTTCCTGTGTCCCTTTTTGTAAGTGTGGGGAATACATTTTTAAATACTTCCCTCCAATAATCTACGCTAAGGAGACATATTATAAAGCTAGGATTTTTCCTCCACTCACCCATTAAACAGGTACTTCTGAGGGAAGTATTTTTTTCTGTCTCTATTTCGTTGGAGCAAAATAAAATCAGGAAAACGGGCCTGAAAGAAAGTGCCCTAATGGGGTTTCAACGAATTTTTTTTTTCCTTTTGAAATGTAGACTCAGTGAAACCGAGGCCACCCAGTTTCATCCTTTCCCCTTTTTGCTGGCGAAAAAATGTATTTGGAAAAGGGACTCAAAAGTTGTGCTCTGAGGAGACGCATTAAAAAAAAGTTTAATTTTTATTTAAATCAACATAATATAAGTGATGCGTGCTCCAGCTACTTTTCTATGTCTGCCAGGTGAATTACATGCCCACAAAGTTTCAACATTATACACTTGCCCTGTTCCCTGGTGGAAAAACATGCTTGGAAAACCCGACCCACCCAAAAGCTATGCCCGGAAGGGATGCACTATGAAAGCTGAATACTCCCCCAGCTCAGTAATATCATGTCACTTACACGTGTGCCAAGTTTCACCTTTTCATTTCTGTCCAATTCGTCACAACAATTTTTTTTCTTCAAAACATCGCCCCTCGAAAAAATTCCCCCTGGGGATGTATCGAGACTTAACATTTTTATTTAATTCTTTGTCTCAGTAGTCACATTCATGCAATGTTTCAGCTTTCCATGTTCATTAGTTTAACTCATGCAAAAAAAATTATTTCAAAACATCTCCCTTTGAAATTTGTGCCAAAAGGGCATTTACATCTAAAGTCTGAAGTCGTCTGCAGCATCCCAATAGGTAGTGATGTACGAAGTTTCATCTCTCCACACTAGCTCAATACGCCATTACAAAAAAAAATAGATGAAAACCTCGGCTCACAAAAATATGCCCCCAGAGCATGGATCTAAAACTTGTCCTTTTTCCTGAACTCAATGTCTCAGTAGTCACGTCATGGCAAGTTTCAGCTTTCCATGTCTCTCCGTTTTATGCAAGCAATGGGACATGGAATGCAAGAGAAGCCAAAAAGAAGGCATGGAATGGACGGGAATCGACAACCTTATACGTTTCCCCTTTTTGCTGATGGTAAAAAATATGTTTGGAAAAGCAACCCACCTAAAAGATGTGGTCTGGAGAGACGTTTAGCAAAAGTTGAATTTTTCCTTAAAACAACATCATTTCCGCTATGAGTGCGCCAGCTGCAATTTGTCTATTTCTGCCTGTTTCGCTAGGATATTAAAAATTCTTTGAAAACGTCATGCCCCCAAGAAATCTGTTCATCAGTCAGGTCATCTGGATCATAAAATTCAGGAAAATTTGCAAAATATGTGCCGTTGGGCGTTTTAACCGAAAAGTACCATTTTTTCAGAAATCAAACCTCAGTGAACTACATGCCCACAAAGTTTCTATCTCATGCGTTTCCCCTTTTCGCTGGTGAAAAATCATGTTTGGAAATGCCGACCCACCCAAAAGCTATGCCCGGAGGGAAGGCACCATAACAGCTGAATACTCCCTTTCCGAAAGAACATAATATCACGTCACTTATACGTGTGCCACGTTTCACCTTTCCATTTCGGTCCAATTCGCCACGAAATGTTCTTTTTTTTATATCGCCCCTCCAGAAATTTTCCCCCAGGGATGTATCAAGACTTAACATTTTCTTTAACTCCTTATCTTGGTAGTCACATTCATGCAAATTTCCAGCTTTCCATGTCCATCGGTTTAACTAATGCCAAGAAATTGTATGAAAACATCTCCCTTTGAAATTTATGCCCCAGGGCATTTCATTCCAAAGTCTGAATTTTTCTGCACGCATCATCCTGGTAGGTGATTATGTATCAAGTTTAATCTTTCCACACTAGCTCAATACACCTTGACAAAAAAAAATACTCGAAAACATCGGCTCCCAAAAATATGCCCCCAGGGCATGGCTCTAAAATTTGCATTTATTTTTCCTTAATTCATCATGTCGGTAGGGACGTCCATGCCACGTTTCAGCTTTCCAAAAAATTCACGATCAGATTCAGAGACTGTATTATCGGTGACCTTGGTCAAAATATGGAAAATGAATGTCAATGAGTGTATTGAGAGACTGCTGTTTTGGTCCATATTGCTTTCTTGACAGGGTCTGCCTACTAAGTTTATTTCAGAGTTACAGCCAACTATCAGGTTGCACAGCACTTCACATTCTAATCACCACCATCACAAGAGTAGTTTACTGGGGAAAACACTCGAGAGACTTTTCTGTGAATAAAAGTTCCTGATATAGGGTAAAAGACCCAGTGATGGGCCTCTTAAGGGCGAGTACTCAGTGATGGGCCACGTCGCAGGAAAATGACAAAAACTAGGCATTTGTTCCATGACCACCTCTGACGTGTGTATGTGCTTGAATGCTGCTAGCATATGTCACAACAAAGGTAGGTGTGCCATGGAAGCAAACCAATTAGAATATTTATGTGTTGTGGCCCATCACTGGGGACTGGTCCATCACTGGGTCTTACCCTACATGACCAAAGATCGGGTGGCAGGGAAGGTTGTGGTTAGCAACATTTTGTAGCTGAAGGATTTCCAAGCGAATGTGCTTCACTCATGGCAATGCATACTGCTCTGAGAGACCACTCAAGGGATATATTACGTGTCTGTTCAGTCACTCTACTAAAAATTCAAATATTTGATTACGCAACTTTTGTGGATTCGTTTGCTTCCTTTCCTTAAATGAGGCACTCTACATGATATATATTTCGAAAGTTCTCGGGCTCATCTTCCTGGAGACACTACCCGTGACAAAGTGCTTCGCCACATTGAAAAATACTCGACCAAAAATGACCAAAAATGAAAATTTTCTACTTTAAGACAATTATTTCTTCATGTAGCTGCGAATTGTCAAACAATTAACTTGCTTTATCGCTGCAACAGAAAGGGAAGTGCTACTCGTACTTACCATAACGAGAGATTTGTCTTTTCCCTCCCTACATACGGATATTTCATGGTCAAAATTGAATTGAAAAAATTTCACCTTTTTGAACTCAACTATGATGCTGAAATCTCCAAGCTCCAAGGATGTATGAATATAATTGTTCATCTATCGAAGAATTCCTATTCAAGCTATTGCATACCTCCGAAAAAAGAACGGATCCTGAGTTGAACATTTTGACAATATATCTTCCTTCGGAATTTGAGGGACAATATATTGCTAACTGCAGAACCGATGAAGCCCATTCTTTTTATGGAGTGGTCGTATCAACTGCAATCGCTAAGAGTTTTAAGACATTTAAGTATTTACTTTTCGCAAAATTAAATTGAGAAGTAATGTTTATTTTTTCTCTCAAGTTTTGTATCTCCAACAATAGTCTTTACAAGGTAGGTGTTTCCATAGAGTGGGGTCAGTAATGACAAATGAACGTGTGATTGATATTGCATGAAAAGAAAAACAAAAAAGGCAAAAAAAAACACATCGGTTGTAACGTTTGATCCACCATCGTACTTTCATTCGTCCTAGACCGTGAGTGATTTCTTAAAAAACTAAAGTGTCGCCGGTAAATACCATACGTTTCCTATGATCGACATAAAGAAATGAAATGGTACGAAAGGGCGACATGGCCTTACAGCGACACTGACACAGCCTCATAGCTGCCAATATATTTCTTGCGGATTTGAACAGGATGAGCACAATCAATGCGTCCTGGCATTGATTTAGAAAATCACTGCACTAATTTCTAAGTAATTTCTCAGCATCACATGAAAGACATCCAGAAATGCAGCAAAGGCCTTGATACCTTTGTAATTGTATAATCGTCATTGACTCTGGCCTTGGATAACTCTTTCTGGCAAAAAATACAGCATGATAGTATGCATTTTTTGGCGAAAAAAAGGCTAAAACCTTGAAAAAGTGATTCATTGGTATCATATTATTACTGGTAAGCGACACTGCGGTAATTACTGGTAAACCGGTAACGTTACGGTAATGCTACCATCACTCACATCTCTAGTCACACATGCTTCATAAAACTCCACTGGCAGAAATAAGCATTATGTAAGTTGAAGTGCTGAATAGCAAGTGCGAGAAGGAGTATCAATGAACGAAACATTTATATGGAGTGATGAAAACTGGCCGAGAAAATTGAGTAGATATATATCTAACCCACATCCGATTGCTACGTTAGTCACGATGGAATCACCCTCCATCGATAACAATAACACACTTTCAGATCTGAATTTTCAATATTGAGGTGTTATATTACATTAGCTGGTATATGCTAGTAGCTGATTTTTTCCTTCTCATTCTTTTATTAACAGGTGTTACTTGGCGATGGTGACGATGTTCTTCGTGGCAAATGTGGCAAATAATTACGCACTAAGATTTAATCTATCGGTGCCCTTATTTCTCATCTTCCGCTCTGTAAGTGCAACTTCTTTTTAGGAACATATAACTATGGTTACTTCCACATCGCTACATTCATAAATCTTAACACAAGGGCTCCCTGTTGACCAATATGATCCTGGGTATAATAATCCGGAAAAGACGCTACACCGTGAACAAGTACATCTCGGTTGCCATGGTGACAGGAGGAGTTTTCATGTGCACGTTCGCTTCAGGTCACTATATAGCCAATGACATTGAACAATCAGCAGGAGCAACTCCAGTTGACTTTGCTTCCTGGCTTACAGGTGAGGCTTTCAACTCTTTAGTATTTCCTGCTCTCCAGGGAATCCCTTTCTGTTATGAGCATCAATTTATCTACAGCATTTATTTATTAACGAAGAATCTAAGAACTGCAATCAGGAACCTTTTGTTATGAAAGAAAATATTATTAGAAGTTCCAAGTTTCGTATGCGACATCTGGCTACTACATGACGTTTTGTATCTGGAGAAACGCAGCATTATGAGGTGGGGTTCTGAGGCAGGAGATAAAATACCAATGAAAGAGAAAAGCCTTACTTTTGGAAATCCCACAGCAGGCCAACTAAATCTTGCACGATACTCCCTGAAAGGCAGGAGGAAGCAAAACCACACAAAGCACATATATGTAACTTTAGGAAATGGTCTAACAACAGATCTAAATACTGCGAGGTATTTAGATCTGTTGTTAGATCAGCCCAAACCCATCCCTTGCAGGGTCAGAAGGTAAGGAATCTACAGTTAAGCATTTTCCAATGTGTAATAACCGGACATCTGGCTTTATATTATGAAAGATATACAGAACCTGTATAGACATGCAAAAATGAGGGGACATTGAATGATTCAAAAGACAGCCATCAGATGGAGAAATAGCTAAGAAAGCCTAAACTCTCACTAAAGGAGGCCAGCATCTTAAGGAGAGCCTGTACCTTCTAAATTATGAGCCAAGCACAGTTTCACCATTCTACTGGAAGTGTTTCGTAACTATGTAGAGAAGGTATTGATAGAATTTTCTATATTGGGAATACTTCCAACTAAACTCTTTCATGGCTATGGCTTCCTAGCCATGGCTTGTGTTCCCAGGCGTCCTGCATTCGGACCCCAAGTGTTCCTAAACTTGTCCTTCAGATGAGAACACATTCATGGGGCACCTCCATGCACACATGAACGCATTGGAGAGCACATACCGGGAATCGGGAACACTTTAACATGGCAAAAAAAAACGCCTACAGGTGTTCTCTTACGTGCTCTCAGGAGTTACCGACAGGAAAAATTTCTTTACAGTGTACTGCTTCAAGAAATGGGGAATAGAAAATAGGCTGAATTTTCGGTTATGGCTTTTCAATAGGTTTCTTTCTTCAGGTGATAAGAGTTATTGTTGAAAGATGGGACAATATTCGGCCTACAGCATTTTTAAATTAACAAATGTGGCATAAAAATCGGCTGCGCGGAACTAATAAATAAGGCTCTTTGTCAATCGCACCTCTGACTTCAACGACAATATCTACAGAGGTCCACGATTTGCCTCCATGCGACTTGTTGCAAACACAACTCCTGTCTTCGAACTTATCGAACAAATTCATCAGAGGTTGCCTCGAGCATGACCCCAACACAAAATGTGTGCTGCGCGGCATTTTTACAAGGTAGCAGTTCAAGATAGCAATACACTTGTTGGTGTAAAAGAGCTTTAATAGTTCGTCTGTCTGCTTCTTATTCAAAGTCATGACTTTTCTATGGCAGAAAATTATTACTTTCTTTCAGTAGTTGTTCAATGCTGCCAAGATTGCAAATATGGAAATTTTTTTCAATATGCAAAAGAGTCTCAAGTAAAATCCCATTACCCCCTGAGTATCCGCCTGAAAAACTGTCCTATGAATTGCCGTTCCAGAGATATCGAACTTCAAAAATGTATATCACTTCATGGACACCCTGTATTTAAAATTCCCTAACAAAGTACTGCACATCCCATTTCGGATAGGCTCAATGAGTCTCACAATTTAGGCGCATAAGTCTAAATTCTGAGGAGAAAGGCAGCAACCGTGAATGCAGACTAGTATCTATAGGTGGCTTTTTCGAACTTCGTATCTACCATTCCCGTAGGAACTATTAGAAAATGGTAGATATTGCGATCAGTTTGTCACTTTTTTCGATTTTTTTCTCAGTCCGTCTGTCCGCAGTAGCCATAGCGACCAGACAACATGACTCTGCATGTGCAGCTTTCCGCCTGGGTCGGGGTGCTCGTCTTCTCCTACTATAACTTCCACTACCCTTCCAGCCCACTTGGTTGGCGGATCCATGATAGAGAATGGAGTAGAGCGGATTCACCTGACTGCATAGACAGGATCCCTAGCACCATATTTGTGTTAGTTTTATGTAAAGTGAACTTAAATTTGGGTCCATTTTACATTACCTTTACGCAAACCATTGTCAAGATAATGTCAATATGTTTGCAGAAATGTCACTTCTGTGATACGTCAACAGTGATTTAAAAAATTAACGTAAATTTTATGTAAAATTGACATTCCCGTTTGCATTCCAAACAGCATGTTTACATTCATTTTACCTAAGATTTATGTTAATTTCTCCATGGTATTCATGCGTATTTAACGAGCCAATCAGTACCTTTTGAATGGAATTGTTACACTGTACTCTTTTTCTTCCGTTCCTTTCCATATCACAGAACTCTATGATGGTTGGAAGAGTACATGAATACTCATCCTCACCAACGCTGATGTGTACCAATATTACCTACTACTTGCTCCTCCCGTACCGGAACCTCGGAAGGAGAAGTTCAGAGGAGCTCTTTTCCATTTAGGATAGGGATGTAACACTTCTGGGGTTGGGATTCTACTCTTCCCTAATCCTGTGGACTGCTGTAAGAAAAAGCTTAACTTCAGCATTCAATGATTTCCTAAGTCATATATTATTAAAATATATATAATAATTTCATGTTTTCATGTATATATTCATGGATTCAATAATAAAGTGTAGAAGGATGGTAAGAAAACCTGATACGATAACAGGAAAGCCAGTACTTAATATTATTTGTATTATGCAGGGAACAAAGGTTCCATCTAGTGAGGAATCTTAGTACTACATCTGCAAAATGGTCCGCTAAAGTTTCATATGGATGGTGTGGTGTTAATTTTGCATGCACTTGATATGTACTTCAAGTCAAATGGAGTGACGTCTAGTTCATGTAAAATTCACTTACACTTTGATGACGTAAATATAGGAACGTAAATTTTACGTAAACGTGATTCCATTTTCATGGCAATCGCAAGAAATTTTCATTGTTTCCAAAGAATTGATATCTTCTTTACGTAAACATGCTGCTTGGGATTGCTAGGTGTATGCGTGGAATGCCGCATTAAGCATCCTACCCATACTGTCCTCCCATCCCCATGTGATGCGGATGCGCGAACCATCAAGAATATATCGAGTTGTCCGGACGTTTTCATGTAGGCATATGCCGTATAGATGACAGCTATTATTCATTTCAAGGTTAGATGGTTAGGATGCAGTGAATATATAGAAGGTGGTCCATTCAACTATGTCACATTTTTAGCAATAAAATGGGTCTGAAATAAGTTATACAAAAGTCTATTACAGGAAAGTGAAATATAAACACCGGAGATTATTAAGTCAATTATCATAGTTATGCTTTAATAATTGCAATCTTTACATGTTGTCTTTACCAATTGATACATTCACTGCATCGAACATGTTGTCCATAACAGTCCTGATTGATACTTCATCAATTGCTGCGATACCCTTAGTAATTTTACTATTTAGTTTATTAATATTCCTTGAGAAATGTCTTGTAAACATTGGCCTTTAACATCCCCTAAACAAAGAAATCAGGAGGGTTTTTTCATGTGCCTTTAGCAAAAAAGGCACATATTGAATTAAGTTAAAGGTTGATGGCCAAATCCAATGGAATTTCGTCTAATCGCGTACAACGATGAAACCAATGCCGATCCATAGAGCACTTCATGTGGTGCATAAGTGTCAATGGTCACACCATGATCCGAGGCAACCCTAATCCGCTTCAGGGAAAAAAAGTGAGCAGTTTAGTTTTTATTTCTGTAGTTTGTGCCGAAATCGGGCGATTTTGACAGTGTCTAATAGATCTATACCTAATAAATCGGACGCTTAGATTCAAATGGTGTCTATCATTTAGCCATGTTGCAAAAAATGTTGATCGCTACCCAAAAATCTGTACATGGATAGCGCTGGCGACGTATGTACAACATGGGTTTATTGTACTTGCACACAAATATTAATATGCAGTGTTATACACCCGCTTGTAGAAGTATTTCACCACATTTGTGCATTTTTTTATTTGATTTTAAACTATAATGTTTACCATATTTACAGAATGTTTTATGATCATTCATCCTCTTTATAATAATTTCTCTTATGTTAACGTTTTTTTAAAATCATAGTTGCAGTCTCTTCCATACCACACCCACTATGATCTCTTTCAGAGAATGCATTTGGCGTATATGGTTGAAAGACTGTCGTGATTCGATTCTACGGGTCCGATTTAATAATTTAAATATACCTCATATATCGAAATCGGCCAACCTACAGGGTGTCCGAAAAGGCGATATCCATTTTTGAGATATAACTTCTTTTCCGCAATGTCACATTTTAATATTAAATTGGGAAACCCCTCGTTAGATACCAGTATCAGTTTTTTTGTTACAGATGGTCATGCTTCCACTGGTGGTAACTTCAACCGGAAATCTGAAGAGTAAGTAGAACCAGTTTTATGGCAATATTACTTTTTAAATAAATTACATGGCCTTTGAACGTGCAAGATTATTCGAACATTATTCCTTGGAATTGTAATTTTGCCTTTGCACAGATGTCACACAAATTAATTCGATAATTTCGAAAGTATATATTTTTAATAAATAATTATGCAATGTAATTTCATCGGAACATAATGTAACCGAAACGAGTTTTTGTTAGACTAAGTATTGCCTTTCCTTCAAATGCATAATACGTTTAGTGTCATCTATTACTGCTGAGACCTAAACTGTCCCAATGTTTCATACTTTTGACGTGGTGCCGCCTTAACTCTTCAACTAGATATGGTATTCAAAATGCACAACCCTTTTGAGGTAGCAAGGCTTTTTATTATTCATTAAACACGTGTTGCTTGGTAATTAATGTGTAAGCGCAGACGAAATGAAGCTTTCCAATAATTAAAGTTTTGACTTTTCTACTTACGCCTCCATGTCTGTATTGCACCTAAATATATCAGTCAATCGACCCGAAGTTGGTGTGCTCCAGGTAAATGATGCGTGTGGGGCGGTTGGTGAAGTTGGCGAAACTGCCTTCGTGAATGTCGTCCTGGCATGGCATTAAAGACCAAAAATAAACTATTGAAGCTAAGCAGAGTGGATGGAGGGAAGCAGGAAAGGAAACTGACCTGATTAGTGGCTTCTGCCTGGCTTCGGGTGTCCGTCTGGCCTTCTTGAGTTCGCATTTTCATTTCAGCCGTCGTGGCTGTCGGGAGAGAGAGACATTGCACGCAAGTGGGATCGGAGTGCCCTCCGAGAACAGCACAAAAACGCGGTTTGGGGGTGGAACGACTCGCCATATGCGCTGTGTGAGTACCTGTAGACAGGGTAGCGAAGCGAGCTTGTGACACGGAAACCCGTGCAAGAGCATGACATCGCGAAATCTGAAACTTGTGATCACGCACCGAAAATTTATGGGTTTTTGGGATGGGTTTCAGTAAATTTGCTGTCTGGCCATCTCACATTGGATTGGAGCAGTTATGAAAATCCTTTATATGTCCCCAGAATTCACAATTTGTTCATTTCAGTTCCTAACGATCCTCACTGCACCATTTTCAGTGTCTCAGTCTAATGGAGTTCTGGTAGGTATGACGATCCTACTAGCCAATGGATACGAGTACTTGCATTTGATTACTTATTTCACAATTCTGTGTTTACGAATACTCCTTTGAGAACTTAAAAAAAAATCACTGTGGCACACTTCCTTGGAGATCTTCAATGACTGCTTCTTATTTTTTGCATCATCTCAAAGAATATAATCTTTCTCAGCTTCTGAATTTCCTGTGCTCTCTCAGCTTCTGAAGAAAATGTTCTAACTCTAAAAAAAAATGAGTTTCTGGTATGATGGTTTTACGTCATTATTTTCATTCATAAGGTACCTGCTGGTCCTCCATTTATTTAAATGAACCGTCAGAGGGAGCTTCTAAAGTGAATGTGTGAAGTTGTTTGGATTTGAGGCTATATTCTTCATTGGAACGGAACCTTTTTTCCAGCGCCTCGTAGTGTTTCGATCCTTTTAGTAATCTCAGGAAAGGGATGCGAGCACACAAAAGCATCCTAAGAAGCATGTTTACGTAAACAAGATATCAATTTTTTTTCAAACAAATTTGCAAATTGTTTGCGATTGCCATGAAGATGACATCACGTTTATGTAAAATTTACATTCCTATATTTACATCACCGAAGAGTACGTATATTTTATTAATACATGAACTACACGTCACTCTATCTGACATGAATTACATGGTATCAAGTTTATGCAAAGTTAATTTGAATTTTAGGGAGAATTAACGTAAACTTCACGTAAAATGAATGTAAACATGCTGTTGGGGATGTAAACGGGTATGTAAGATTTACGTACAACTTACGTTAATTTTATATCACAGTCTATGCATTACAGAGATGACATTTCTGCATATACAGGGTGGGCCAAAGAAAGTGAACCATTTTGGAAAGATCATTTCTCCCAAGCATTTGGCCAAAACTTAAAAATGATGATATCACTGTGTAAGCCATTCAATTCTCCACAAAAAATGATATAATATTATTTGCCACAAAACAATTTGTTCTCACACAAAATGCACTTGCATGAAAAGAGTGAAACATAAGAATCTTCCATAGACGCTGCACAACCACTCCTAATGCACCTGCTTTGCTCTCGCTCATACCAGACAAAAAAAATTCATCACTTCAGTGTTGAAAAAGATGCTCTGCATGACCACCTCCATTTCTCCTAACAGCACGTAAGCGATCTCTCCATGTTTTAATTGCTCTAGTAATGGACTCCTGTGGCAACTCTTCCCAAGCCAACAGGATTCGTTGCTTGAGATCTTCCACATCACGAACCTTTTCACCTCGATAAACTTTTTCCTGCAAGGCAGCCCAAACAAAGTAATCAATTGGGTTGAGATCTGGACTGGATGGTGGCCACTGGTTTGGTTTGATGAAGTTCTCATCACAGGTTTCAGTCAAAAAAGCAACAGTTGTTTTAGCTGTGTGGGCAGGGGCGCCATCCTGCTGAAAAACAAAATTAGGATTTAACTCTTGAATCTCTGCTAGCATGGGTGACAGAATTTCTCGCTGATAATAACTAGCATTGATCTTTGCTCCACGTTCCACAAAAATCACTGACGTCTTGTGCCTGGAAGAAGCTCCC